TACTAAACCTTGCATGTATGGTGATACATTAAGGCCTACTGACAAACAGCGTGATACAAACTCAGTACTCATCAGTTCACTAAACCTTGCATGTACGGTGTTACAGTAGGGCATGCTGACAAACAGCATGATACAGACTCAGTACTCATCAGTTTACTAAACCTTGCATGTACGGTGATACAATAAGGCCTGCTGACAAACAGCATGATACAGACTCAGTACTCATCAGTTTACTAAACCTTGCATGTACAGTGATACAGTAAGGCCTGCTGACAAACAGCATGATACAGACTCAGTACTCATCAGTTTACTACAGTGATACAGTAAGGCCTGCTGACAAACAGCATGATACAGACTCAGTACTCATCAGTTTACTAAACCTTGCATGTATGGTGATACAATAAGGCCTGCTGACAAACAGTGTGATACAGAACTCAACAGTTTACTCGACATGATATGTAGGAGGACAAGTAGCATCTACTGGAGGGAAAAAGAAAATTACATTCATTTCTGGCCATCTAGAGATGCCACAGACATAACCTTTCATATCTCAGCCTCAACCATGGTGAGGCAGATGTAGTCTGTACCTTCCATCTGCAAGATTCCCTCCTCAGACCTCTCTATTTCAAATTCCTGGATCTGACACCGCCATCCTGTAAAAGTACATTTATTAGTAATAATTACTGTGTTCAAAAATATGAAAATATATTGATTTCAAGGATAAATTATACATGCGATATTTTTCTATATTTTTAACTACAAAGTTTATAATTATAGGTACACAGAATTTGACACTGTAAAAGCATCGACTTTTATATTGTAATTTCTGATTTCTGAGTTCTCAGATTTCTATTCTAGGTCAGAAATTAACGAACATCCCTTGATTCTAAATTTGATAATATAATGATAGATTTTGTCTGTGGTTTATTTTTAGCATACACGGTACTTCTTACCCTAGCTGGTTGTTGAGCTTTTTGAGTGAATTACCTACTAAAGTTAGGTTGAGTCACCATGCATTTCTGACGTAGGATCCAGTTAAGAATGACGACAATTACCTTAAAAGTCCATCTGAATTGACAATTTTGCGCTAAAAAAAATTTGTTGATTTGCACTTGGCTAGCTGACAAGGCAAGAGTTTGCTAAGGCAGCAGCTGTATGACTTTTCATATTATAATGTCATTGAAGAAAAAGGTGAACTAGCAAGACCATAGAATATCCAGAAAAATACAGAAATGCTCCGGACGTAAATTATGTTCTAGAGTAGTATTTTCTGTCTGTATGCATTTTCTGTGTATGCATACACATTATTACATCCATATAGATCAATGCAGATTGGAAGGTATAGTATGTGGAAATAAAAGATTATGGTAGGTAGTCTACACAAAATAAGTACTATAGATATGGTGGCTTAAGTCTACTACATAGATTAAATGCTTTCTTGATGCTGTTTTTTTTTTTTTTTTTTTTTGCATATGAAATTTCTATTACTGAATTAACTCTAGCATCAAATGAAGATTTATCAGTGTTAGTGTTGTAGAATAAAATAAAATATTGCTTACACTTAATATTTAATTTTGATTTTAACAACATTAGAATATATTTCTATTGGGCAAATAAATTAGCTAGTAATAAATTGAAGATTTTTGTAGTATAGGGTAGTAGGGTTTTTTTTTTTAATAGTTTTAACAACAGATCATACATCAGATTCTTTCCTGACATAAGGGATTAGTGAGGTCAATGACACTGTCGATTTTATCAGTTTATGATTTCCTAAGGAGTTTATAAAGCATTTAGTAGCTACATTCAAACACTAAATATTCTCAAACACTAATTATGACAAAAAGTTTGTTAGATTTGGATTATATATTTTCATAAATTTAGTAAGTGTAAGAACATAGCAGAACATAAGGTACAAGGTTGATCTCAACCTACCTTTCTGCACCATCATCCTTCAAGACCATTTTCTGCAAAATGAGGGCAGCAAACTCGTTCATTTATTACCATAATGACAAGCTATAGTAGGACCTTTTAAATGGACAGGCTGATTAGGGTAGGGTAGGGTAAGGTGGGGTGGCAATAAAGGTGAAGTGAGAGGGTTCTAACGAGTTCACTTAATTATAAACCAGTTAATTTAAAATAATCCTCAACGAGAAATTTCACCAAAAGCTGAAATGTAATAGCCAATATGAAGCAACATAAGTGTCAATCCACTTTTGGTTTTGTTTTAGGGTATAATTTGGGAAGTCTACTAGCCAGAGGTTAGTAAGCCAAAAGCAAAACATATAATTGGTTTACTGTCAACATAAATGAGTAGTGCTTTTATGTACATTATATAAAACAATATCACTAGTAATTTTATAGTGTGTGTAGGAAATATAAATGTAATTTATTTTGAGGACTATTCAGTCCGCCTTAAGACTTCATCATTCCATAGTTCCATTTTGTCATACTGTACAAAGTCTGAGATATGGTATGGATTAGCTTATTCTCACAGTATCATATGTAAGTCTTGGGTTTGTATGTACTGAGCATGCTCAGATGGAATAATCCTCTTATCTGCCATATATCTAAAAACAGGAAATCTAACCAAATGATACTACTGTATTATGGTGCGGAAGTGTAACACAAATTATATCCTCTCCTCTACTTCGCTTGTAAATCCTTACTTAACAACATAAATAACTATAAGGCTTGCAACAGATTACAAAGTGACATGATAACACATGCATTTTTTATTTAAAGTCATAATGAATCTTACGAGTTTAAAAAGTAAGTAATAATAAATAGTTAATTACAATGTTTTGTTTATCAATTATTAAATTGTGAATATAAATTGAATATTGCAAAGAACTTTGCTGTACCTCAGTTACAAATAATGATTAAAAATTATCCATAATAGAAAATAACAATAACAATATTGATGATGATGGTGATGACAATGATGGTTATTTGGTTGGTTGTCTTTGTGAGGTATGCACTAAGAGTATTTCTCAGTTGAATTTATTTATTTCTTCAGACACCCAACAGTGTTAAAAAACATTCAAAACTGGGTTGTAAAAAAAATAGAAAAATAGAGTACAAAAATTAAGCTTAAACAGAAATTCAAAAACCTAGAATGCTTTTTTTTTTCAAAATGACTGCCTTCATTTATTTACTCAGAGCAATACATATTTATTTACTCATTTAAGACCATCTTAAAGAGGGTGACTCATCCAACAATGTGGATGGATGGTCCTCACACATACAAAAGTATGATTCACTATGATTTGGGTCCTCAAACACTACGATACCATGACTATGGTCCTTATACATACAATACTCATTAAATAATTGTAGCCCTCATACATACAACATATTAAATGATTATAGTTAATATAATTATTATACACTGTACAAAACATTCAATGATTAGGGTCCTAATACATACTTTACCAACATCATTAAATATGATAGGGACCCTCACACATGTGATTAGGGCTCTCATGTATACAAACAGCATTCGATATTATCCTTGTCAGTGGTGGCTCCATAAGCTTGAAGGGTCTGGCATGTCCCACAGCAAGATCTGAACCAATGTGCTGACTAGAGCCTCAATCTGGGTCCTGGAATACAAATTCCTGATAGGGTTTAAGGGAGAGTTTTTTTATTTATTAGTACTGTATGGCCCAAAATTGTGCTTTTGACCCATGCAGTTGTCACCACTGGCCCTCGTAAATACAATTATCACTCAATGAGTTGGGTCCTTAAGCATACAAACATCATGCAATAATAGAGGTCTTCATACATGTTTTGAAAACATTCTTAGGGGTTCTTATATCTTATCGTATGAGGAGCCCACATATATACAAACACATGATATAAACAATTATTTGAATCACTTAACAAAAGAACAATACACATTCTTTTTAGAAGATTTGAGAAAGTACATTAATAATACTTCTGATAAAAAAAAACATATTATTTATAGTTTAAATACAGAACAATATTTATTTCCAGTAATAATAGGTATTTAGCATGCTGAAATTAGCAGAAAATCATGAAATGGCTACTCTTAGAATGCAAACATCTAACTAATTGTGTAGAATGGACCAGGGAAAACTGATTATGCAGAATCCTGAAGTAAAAAAGAGGAGAGGCACCGTATCCTACCAGGTTGAACTTCCTCTCAAGCAAAAGCTTGCCTCGTTGTGCAAGTGTCTCTAACATTGACCTTGTAAATTCTAAAAACAGGGGTCCCAAGTCTTCCGTGTGTTGCAAGAATTTTCCAGAAATCAAATTGGCTCATGCACTCTTGCAACCAAGCAAAAATCTTCTGGAAACTAACCAATTATATTTTTTATGTTTTTACTATTTTAGTATAAATTGTCTGGCTCTGAAGTCAGCTGGCAATAGGTATCGCCTTGCACAGAAAATGAAATTGGATGTATTAAGAAAGCTTATTCAATAATGCCTGAAAGCAACATTATCAAATTATCTTGGAACTAACCAAAGATTCAAAGGAAGAATACCATATAAAAACAGTGGATCAAATATTTGTCAGGTCTAGGCTGATTGTTATTACTCTCTTTAATGCCATACAGAATCCTGTTTGACAGTTCTTACTGATAACGACAGGAATGAAAATGCTATAAAGGATTTTGATAGTTTAAAATAAAATCAGTTTCTTCCTTCTTGATTATAGCATTAAATAAATACTTTTTAGATTAGCCATTATGAAACTCAGTGATATTATTTTCCTATTCTCCATATGGTTCAGTGACGCTGAAATTAGGTAGTAACACACACCAAAGTCAATTTGGAAAGAGAAATTATTAAAGGGCATTAAAGCAAACACAAATGACAAGTTGGAGTGAAAATGAGAAAGCCCTCAACCGTACTTTTCATATCTGTTTATTATTGTTGAATTCCACTGCTCAGCTGATTTGTATTATTCAAAAAAATGCCCTTAGGCATGGAAAAAATATAAAAGAAAGTCAATTATTTGCCAGTTTTTGTTTGTATAAGGTGTATTTACTATGCTTTACAGAGGAGGCAACTGCATGAGCTGAATAGCTCTAGAATATAATAATGCTATTATAAAAAAGAGGACATATTACAGTACCAAATTGTTAAGCTATTGTGGAGATATTGGACAATGTGTGAGGAGTAAATGTAATACTGTCACAGGCTAAGTTAAAATTGTACTTGGGGAGGAAATAATTGCACAAATTAAGTGCAAAATTATTGTTTTCACCAATAATTCACCAAATAATTAACTTCCAGTCAAATGATATGACAGATTACTCTATATGAATTTCATTTTCAGAATACTGTAATTCATAATGTATAAAGCAACTAACATTTTCTCTGATTTTGGTTCTTTTTTCTAAAATTAATAAAAAAAAAATTACTTTTGTTGTTTATATATGTATTATCATTGCAAACAAATAAGATTTTAATTTAAATTTAAAAAAAATAAATAAACAAACTTTTCTAGTTCATGATTCCTGTATTATTAATTTCCATGGGTCTTAATCATGTAATACGATGAGCAAAAAAAATTAGGTAAATATTTTCTTACAGAGTTACAAACTTTAATAAACCACAAGATTCCAGAACTGCAGTCAATATTTTTAAGGTGACTGTATCGGTGACGTATCAAGAGACCAAGGCAAGGTAATAAGTTATCAGGAGACAAAAGTAACATAGTTGCAATTGTGTTTGTTATTAATTTTTATTTCATAATTAACTTCACTTACAACCTTAGTGACAGGGTATGGGATACAGTTAGTCACAGCTTGCAACACTACTACAGGTATGCTCTGGTGAACTAGAAGGGTGAACGCCTTAGGTGCCATGCAACTATAGGGTACTATGTTACGGTGACTAAAATTTGTGATACAAACAAAATATATTTTGTGTAGGAAGCATTAAAAAAAAAATGCTTCCTACACATATATAAATGTGCATTACGTTGAGCTAATAAATTCGCTTAATCAGCAACCTTCCTATAATGTACACCTTCAGGTTTCTATAGGAAAAACTTAATACATACTGCAAGAAATGAGTTGTGTTTATGAATGGTCATAATAAAAACATATTAGAGTAATGTACATGTGTTTTCATTATTTCATTATATTATAAAGATCACTATGGAGTAGTCACAAAATGTTTAAAATGCTCCAAACATTCATACACAGCACCAAATACAGTACTTATGAATCAGCAGATATTGATGTTTTACGCATTTTGTCATTGAAATATTCTGGAATATTAACTAACATTTGTCAGCTTCAAGCAAAAATTCTATTATTACTCCAAATGAATGTTTGTGCATGTCCACATATTATCATATTTCTTTTAGGGTTTACAAGGTGCACTAACAGTAATATAAGTAATGATGAGATGTTGCTTCTACAAGCGATCAGTAGTGGAGTCCTGAGTTAGAGGTTTTCAGGCAGAGAAATCCATTTTGCCCTTTCAGTTTGATTTTATTGTATATCCAGGTTACTATGTTTTGAGCATATTTTGTGGGGAGGTACACATTATAAAAATGGCAGGTCAATGAATGCATATTGCATTAATTTCATTTTGACTAACTGATTCCTATACAACTACTGTACTTATTTATTTTACTGTATTTTGTATTTTATTTTAAGCCTTGAATTGACACATATAAAGAAGTACAAGGAAATAAATGGCATATGTTGCAAAGACAAGCCAAATCAGTCACTCGTCGCAAAAATCGATTTTTAGTTATTAATATAGGGTTAAACAGTAAAATGAGAGCTATAAAATGGTAAAAGAATCATTTAAATCCGACATATCGTTATGAAGTTAGAAGTGTTTAAACATACAGCTGTTTATTTGAGAAATTGGCCTTCAAAGTTTATGATTTTTGGCATTTCTTAGGCAGAAACCATCACCAAATTGTTAAAAATTGTTGTTTTAATATTGAAAATGGAGAAAATAACAGCATAGCATGATGTATAGATACAGTATATAAAAGTTAGTTTAGTGCAATAAAATAAATTTCAAAAATGTTGACATTTCAGCATGTTTTGGCCATTATCTCTGAAACATGATTTGCGATGAGTGATTGGTTTGGCTGTCTTTGCCACATATTTGAAAGTTTATCTTGTGATAAATTAAATGTTGAACTTCCTCAAGCAAATTTTCAAGTGCTTAATGCCTACTATAATATGACTTTGGACATGATGATGAGGGTAATATGGTTATGGTAGCAAAACAACTGAACAGAGCATATAAATATCATGCTTTGTTATATATGCAGTCATGCTACTACACACAACCAGGCACAACTAAATACTACATGTATGCACTACCATACCACCTCAACCTAGTTTCGTTGCCTCTGGGACCCATATAAAGCCGGGCTATGCCAATACCGTCAGCTGATTGTCACTGGCAGTCTGAACGGATCGTCAATAAATATGATCTGTTGCACGCGGGTTGTAGCGTTGCATTCTCCATGGAATCGTATCAGGGAGTGCCAGGCTTTACCCATATGGGTAACATTTAGTGATATTTTTCTTCACTGAAAACCAATATGTTGAACAATATTTTTAGAATATCAATTAAGGGCCAGCATTGAACCCTACTTATTAATGTTAATGACATGATATCATTACTGTCAACATTTTATAGATATTTATGGGCATATGGCCTATTATTGTTAATCTCTGTATTTGATTGCTACTGCAATTGTTCTTTTTCATAATTATTTCATAACACCTTTTTAAACAAAGATGATCTATGAAATTAATTTATTTATCTAATAACATTAATGTTTTATAACCAAGTATATTTATGAGGCTTACAGGAGTATTGGCAATGAGAAACATGAATATATGGCCTTGGTATTAAAAAGCAAACATATCATCCACCAAGCACTCCAACACATCAAAATGTATACTTTAAATATTGGTAAATATACATACTACCATATAAATTTTAAAGGTAAATAGTCTGATTTGGTAGATAATACATTTGGTTTTTCAACATATTAATATCTCATTGTCATAGTAAATATCATAGTAAATATGCATACTATATTAATGTAAAGTTAAATGCTATCTGATTTGGTATATTATGTGTTTGGCTTTTCAACATATAATATTAATTGAAAGAAGGATAGATCTATCATGTGTCATTGTCGTAATACCATTCATTTCATCTGCAAATGCAATTTTTCATCTCGGGGCATACAGCTTACACTCACCTTTAGCCTTTTATATGCTGATCACTCTTACTTTCCACTGACGGGTACAATTTTGCGTTTTTAAAACACCTCAATATTTTCAAAAGATCATCGTATTTCACATTAATCTGGGTTTCTTTAGTAGAAGCTGATTTTCATCTGAAAATAAAGTGAACACTTAGATAATTATGTCAGATACACACTGGATATTTTTACCTAGTGCCTTGACTGCTAAAAGGAGAAAATCAATCATACCTCAATCATATGTTATTAACAAAACATGAGACAAGATATATATATAGGATGCAAAGAGACTGATTCCATTAGAAAGTAGAAGGGGAAAAAATCCCAGAGGAGAATGATGCAATCAGAAAAAACAGAAGATAAACTCAGAGGATATCTGCTTCATAGATTTTCACTATAATATCTTAACAGTTGTTACCATTGTAAACTTATCAAAATGTTGTAATTCACAATAGGGTTGTTAGGCATTATTTATGAAGACTGCTATAATAATACAGTAATTGCTGCTACAATGTCACATATCTGTTTTCACATAAATCAAATGAAAACGGTGATTAAAAGAAACCCAGAGGTAAGAATTTCTTTTATCAGTCAATGGATGTATAAGTTTTCTTATTTTTGTTCCAAATAAAAATGATTATTATTTTGTATCCAATATTTAACTCCCACTCTACATAATTAAATTAATATTGATATATAAACTATATATAATACTCACAATAACAAGGAAATAATTTTGATTTAAAAAAACTGGTAAAGTAAGCAATGATGTTTTTTATAAAAATGCTTAATTTATTAATAATATAAAATTCTTAATTTGAAAAGTGTTTTAGTGGATAATTTTGTAACCTTTTGAAATAATGGAACAGTCTATAAATTCTATTTTTAGCATCAATTTACAGATTGCTTTTTACACACAAGTATGAATATACTTTACAGAAATGAAAATCACTGACAAATGTAAAGATCTAAAAAAAGTAGTCTTTGATATTTATAAACACAAAGATATCAATGAAGATTTAATCAACCAATTTCTATATTTACCTTTCATTTTCTTGACTACATGCTTATATATTCAGTTAAATGAGGCACAGCTATATATAAACAGCATACCATCAACTTGAGTAGACCTGTTGCTGTATCAACTGAATTAGGAAATAGATAAAAGAACTTTTTTTGTTGTTTACTCAGGTATTATAAAGATAGGAATTTTCCCAGGTGAGGTGTTTGGGTAATGGACAGGTGATATTTATGATCTTCTCCTAACAGGTGTTACCTACAAATAGATTTCATTCTCATTTTGCTGTAATAATGTATTGGTAATGATGATAATGAAGATGGTATGTATGACTAAGGTGATAAAACGAATAAAGTTCAAATTGATGAAAAATTACAGCAGACTGACAGTTCTTCATAAATATTTATCATTATTCCTTTGAAATGCACATTGGCAAACTCATGATAGTATGTCACCTTAGAATTATTGTCAACAAAAAAATAATCTTTCTCGATTGTTTATCTCTGAGTACTGAATGAGACAAAAATTTAAAAGATATAACAGTAATCATTTCAATATTATATTTCATTAGATATTTTTGTATAATTTTTTGTATGTTTTTATGTAACTGTACCAATTTTAAAAAGTATACGGTACTAGTACTGAAAGTACCTGCAATGTATATAGAAAAATAATAAATAAAATAATATGACTAGGCCTACAACAAATACATGGAGTGAATTTCAATGATGAGGGCAGTATATAGGTCTATCACCAGTACATGTATGTGACTGGGATGAGTTTAGATTCAATAATAATTAATACTTTGCTGTAGCAACTGTTATCTCTGAGTTACTTACTTTTACTTTACTTTTTTAGGCATTATCTATCCACTGCAGAATGAAAGCTTATGTATGTATTCTCCAGTTAATGTCTCTTTTGTGCCCTTTGGTATCATTTCACTTCTATTTTATCTCATATGTATGCGAGTAGCAAGCTCCACCGCCCGTCATGTCTACGGCTGGTGTGTCCAGCCCAGTTCCATTTTCTGCTCTTGATGGTTTTGAGAATGTCTTGTACTTGTGTCTGTTCTCTAATCCATTTGTTTTTCTGTCTTTATAAGTAATGTTTAGTATATATCTTTCCATGTTATGCTGTGTTGATGCCTGCTTTTCATAAGGAGCCGTATCTTCCATAACTTGCCAACCTGCTTTAATTCTTATTTCGTTGTCTTGACTTTGTTCACAAAGCGCTGTCCATGATATATATACTCTTCTACCTGTTCTATTTCAGTTCCCCTCACCTGAATCTTTTTTGGATCGGTTGTTAGTCCTGTCATGACTTTCGTATTTCTCATTCGTTTTTAACCCAGTTAGTCTGCTGGCCACATCTAGTTCTTGGATCATTGTGACCTCAAGGTTACTGATGTTTTTTGATATAATTACAATATCATCTGCGAATCTCAGATGATTTAAATGTTCACCGTTTATGATGATTCCCTTTCCTGTCCAATGTAGAGTTTCGAAGATTTAGGTGATATAGAGTACTCCCTTCTTTAACATTATCTTCTTGCTGTCTTTGTGCATCTTGACTGGATTGAAGAAGTCTGAGTATATACTGTATCTTCGAAGATCCTGAAGTATGTATTCTGATTCCATGCTTATTTAGTGCATTCATAACTGAATTTGTTTCAACTGAATCTCTGAATTATTTAAGTTTAAATCAAATACAAAACAGAAGCCAATGGCTGATATTGTTTTACAAAAAACAGACAAAAATAGAAATATAAAAATCTTATTACTGATATGAACATAGCTATGTGACAATTCCAGATTTAAAATGTGGCACAGATTAAAATCAGTATAGGAATTAATCAGGACTTAAAAGCTACCTAGCAATCCTTATTCTTGATTAAATGGACATAAAAACAACTTGTTTAACAACATTACATAATGCTATAAACGGTGAACTCACTATTGTTCTTATCAAAGGCAGACATGCGGCAAACAAGAAGCCCTAGCCATAATATACATTCCATTTTTTTATTTTTCCGAGAGCCCTATTTTAATATAAATGAATGGGGCTGACACCCTTTTACAATATAATTATTATTAAATTAATTAATTACTAAATAAAAACTACCGTTAAATGTTGGAACACACTCTATCCCAAACCATAAATATACAGGACTAAATTCAGGGTGGGGCTTTAAAGTTACTTCATGCAGTAACCACCCTGACTCCTGGGGGGATGTGGTATTTATCCTAAACACAAACAAAATTATTATTATAAGAAAACCTTAATATTTCTTAAATGCTAAATATAACAAATAAAAGATATAATAATTTGGGTTTAATTAATTTTTTTTTTTCTTGGTAGAGAAAATTGGCTGGAATGTGAATTACAGTAGACTTAGTTTAAAATAATAATAATAATTGAGGATATTTATAAGGTGCCAGTATCCGCATGGTGTGCTCATAGTGCCAGAGCCAAGCAAAACAGAAAAAATACAAGAGTGGAAAAATTTAGGAAGATAATAGTGCAAGAAAGAGCAGATTTAATTGGGGCAGTCCTGGTCAAACAGATGTTTCTATAGTCTGGACTTGAAAGTAGTAATATTTTCTGCAGACCTGATGTGATGGACAGAGAATTCCAGATTTTGGTGCAGCAACAAGAAATGATCTATTTCCCCAGTTATTCTTAGTAATATGTTCAGTTAGGAGGAGTTGAGATGATGACCTGTTATATGCCGATCTGTTACTATGCCGATAACAAATTTGAGACATAGGCTGCACAGTTTACAGTAATTTAGTTTGAACCAATTCTCCTCGTTGATTTTTTTTTTCTGGTGAAAACAGTGCAGTAAAAGTTATTTAACAATAATAAAAAAACAGTGGAGCACAGGCTGCTTAATTTACTGGCATGTTACAGGACCTCTAATAATTCTATAACCTGGATTAGATTTTCCAAGAGCTCATCTGATTGGAAGTTCAGCGGGCATACCACAATTAAAATGTGGTCTTCCAAAACCTATAAAAGTCAATGCTTCATTAGACACTTAGAAGTTTGAGCGGCTTAAGAGGAATGACTTTGGGATTGTGATTGTGGCTGAAATCACAATTCTCATTCATCCAAAGTATTGTCATGGGATTAAAATGTCAATTGTGTATTTGCTCTGTGCCTTAGGTTTTTAGAGGTACTGTAGTAGTTTGTATTTTTGACTCCAATTCGCAATTTCATCCATTGGCTAGTGAAATTAATACTTTTTTCAATTGACTGACGAATTAACTGGAATTTGGCGAAAGAAAGAAAGCCTACAATAATGTGGTACAAGATTTTTCATTCAGAATGGAATCTTTGAAGTGGTTGTGCATTGTATATTCCACATTAGGGCAAATAGAAAAATTTATTAGATTATTTCTCCCATTCACATCAAAAAATCGGGAAATATTGATGTTGATTTCTTTTGCCGCATCAATTACTTCAACAGCATAAAAAAAAACAATGCAATTTTGTGACTTCAAATACATTTTTATTAAAAAACTATAAAATTAAACCAGTTTTTATACAATATTTACTATTACAGACCAAATATTAACAGTCCCTCTCTCATCGATAAAAACAAAAGCGAAATAATCTATTGTTCAAATTTACAAAAAAAAAAAAAAATGCCCTCCCTCATCAATTTTTTTTAAAAAAGAGTGATAATCTAATAATTTTTTCTATGTGCCCTTAGCTGCCATTGTTTATAAATCAAATGCTGTGTATCATATACTACAGGAAATAGTGACACAAATATCAAATAGTTACTGAACTAAATCAATAAATTTAGCAAAAGTTTGCACCTGCTATTTTAAATGTTGACAAAAAATAACATATAATAAACGTTAGTAAACAATAATTATATTTCAATATTAGATGTTATTGTTTGTTTGAAAGTGATTTGAAATAACTGATTTGACTACTACTTATAACTACTATATGAATTGTAAATTATCATGCTTACCACTGGTAGGAGTATTACCAGGAATAATGGAAGCACAATGCAAAATTTTGTAAGCCAGAGGAATAGTGATGCGATTTTTCTTTCTCAGCAAACTTCTAAGAGATACACCACTGCAAGTGACACAGTGTTTATAAAGAGGGAGAGAGTAGAGATGACTGATATTTGAAGGCTGAGATAATCCCTCATTTGTCTCTAGGTATCCTACATAAAAGTTGGAGTCTGAAAATGGGTTATTTGATGCCAAGTCAAAGGCTCCACATTCTTAGGACATTAAACGATTTAATCAGCTTTATTTTCTGATCCGAAGTATAATACCACTATGCAATCCAAAGCCAAAATCTGGAAAATCCAATAAATCTGTAGCGACAACTGACCTTAGTCAGACACAATAGGGAAGCGTTCCATGGGTTTTTGTTGTCCACATCAATGGACTACTCGACGCATACCTGGGTGCTTACATTTAAACAGATAATTCACTAAACAATATTTGTTGTTTTTTACCTTGATGTTTATCTTCTCTTCCTTAATCTTTTATAATCTCTTCTCTTTTGCACACTATTATGTAAAATCCATGTTTTATATGGAAACAACATCTTGTATGTATGGCTGGATGAGTGTGTAGGACTCTTAAGATATTAAATTTCTTAAGAGTCAGCTTATAATTGCCATTGACATTTTGTTAATTGTAAAGCGCATGAGACATTTTTGGATAGGAATATTTCGGTGTGAATCACACCAAGAATAAGCCATTACATCTGAAGACTTGTTTCCAGTGGGGTCCTTCTGGTGGTGAATTGGGCAGTACACCGAGAGGCAATCCCCTACTTTTTTCCAAAGAGTTTTGTACGTTCTTCAACATGCAAATGGGCCATATTGCACACAGGACCAACAGCTTAAATATCTCATCCGAAAGACGGTGCGCTAACTTGTAAGGAGGGCAGCGATGGGAATTAAACCGGGGACCTAGATCTCTTCACGGTTCAGCGCACACAGAGTGGCTCCCACCAGTTTAGCCGACTGAGCTAAGATGCTCTCATGTGAAGTGCCATTATTTTTGTATGTATTGTTTTTACTATTATTAATACTATAAATCAAGGTTGGTGGTAAATTCATATTAAAAGGACCACAATATAACACAAGATCTGCAGATGTTTTATTATAGAAAAACCAACAACTGAATAATTAAAAAAAAAAAAGAGTTTAACCTACCATGGTGCTATTTTATGGAATAGTCTTAATGACAATGTTAGAAGAGCACCAGTTATCTTGTCAAATTCAAAGAGCTTATTTTATCTTGATTGTACAATTTTAACAGTTTACTCAAATTGACTATACTGTAATGATGATTTATAAGTATTTATGTAATGTTTTTCTTTACCCTTTTTTTAAATATTAATGTATTAATTTCTCTTCATTTTACTACTTTGATTTATATGGCCTTGCATGGCCTTGATGAATAACACCCTTTGGAGAATCAATTGAAATATTGTATTTATTATTATTATTGTTATATTTTTCTAATGAGTTAGAAAATGGCAAGTTCCACAAATTGAATAGGAATTTTCACATACACAATTGACAATACAATACAATATTGAAAATCTATGTAAAAAGTTTTTACAAATGAAAATAACAAAACTGAATACAAAATACTGAATACTGATACACAGTTTGTCAGAACATTTTAAATTTTCAATGTTTCAGGTATACCTGAACATTACCTGTAAATGTATACATTAATACCTCTACAATTTTTGGTCCCTTGTTCAATTTCGATCACTGATCTCCTTGTACTAGAGGGCTGAAATATAAATTATAACACTGTTCAAGTGAGATGTTTAAGCCATTGGTCCTGTGTGAATTATGGCCCATGTGCATGTTAAAAAACAAGTGTACTGTTCGGAAAAAAGACAAGGGACATTTCCCTAGTTTAATACCCATATTCACCACCAGAAGGTCCCACTGAAAACAAGCCTCTAAACACATTACCTGCACCTTCACCTTTATAACATTATACAAAACCTGTACACTGCCCTCCCATGGCAAAAGGGCATAACTGACAATTTGCTGTTTTGGAGATATTAAGCAAAATGTGTAATTTATTTAGCCCTAAAATGTGTTTTAGTATTTGATTTCATGGTTAATGTATTCAAATAGACAAATAATGTCTCTTCCAGTGTAGCACACATTTTCTCTATAAATATTGATTTTTGTAAATGTATATTGCAATTGTTTTGAAGGAAAAAGATTATAAATATGAAATTCCATATGCATAAATACACCATCCTGGTAATTCTGAGTATAGATTTTATGGGTTACTGTATTATATGTCTTGAATAAAGATAAAAATGTACAAATCATAAGAATAATAATATAGTAACACTTAACTAAATTAGCCTTTAGCCAGTAGAATCCCTATACACACAGTGATTTAACAATAATATAATATAAGGTGTGGTGGCAAACAGTGATAATGGGGGCAAGAAAGAAAAGGAGCAAGCATGACTAGTAGACACCAAACCTGTGTATGGAGTGTTGTATTTGAGGGGTTTCTATGCATTGACAGAGGCTCAACATCTGTAAAAATAACAAAATGTTAAGAAATTCATGTCACTTATAATCTTATAATTTTTTTTTTCTGTGGCAGCCCACACAATTTGTAGGGGGGCCCAATTAAGTATAGGCTTATATAATTTAAGGTAATCCGGCAGTACAGAGTTGTTAATAAAGTAATACGACTTAAGAAAGTAAGCTTACTTCATGGCTATCCTATAAGATTAAGGTAATCCAACAGTCCAGAGTTGTTACTAAAGTAATATGGCAAGGGTAAGCCTACCTCATGGCTAATCCTATAAGATCCAAGTGTGTTCAACCTTCCACTTTGGGTTATAAAATATACATTTTTTAAAATTCCATATCAAGTTGTGATTAATATTTAAAGATATTTAACAATTTTTAAGCAAATAAAAACTAAGGGGAAAATGATAGGAGAGGAGGTGGTGAGCATTGTTAGATGATCATTA